TTTTTTTCTAAAAAAAATTCTCTTCAATTGTATAAATTACCTTCAAATAAAAGAACCGGATTACAGAAAACTATGTCGCCGAGTGACTTTTTTCGTTCAAGCTGAAGCAATATCGTCCAATTGGAGAGTCCTCATAAGGATTTCCCAGGATATGTTAAAGACTATTGCATTTACCTACATACACTTTTTCACATAATGGAATTAACTAAAATATTTATGTATATCTAAACACTTATTGCACGTCTCCTACTTTCATACAACAGCAAATTTAGAAACCGCGAAAAATGTGCTCCTCCGGTGACTAATGAAACCATTCCGCACTAATTTTCAATACTGCATAAATAGACTTAAAATGGGCGTTTCTCACCCAAATTGTATTATGTTAATGTATGTAGATACTTATATGCTTGAAAGTACTATTAACTTGTTAAACGATTCCTAATCTTTCACAATACATTCATTCACCACGATCTTGAAAACTGACCAAATCGGCGTGATCAAGTCCATGGCCATTTTAATATTACTTATATAAACATCCGAAAACATTAAAACGGTTGAAACAAATTGGTTGCTGAAGTAATGTAGAATTGAAAATTCATGGGGGAAAATTATAGTTTCTGTAAATTTTATCTTAATATCTTAAAAACTTGTAGACTTATTGAAAAATGATAAATGAACGTGAGGTACTAAATTTAATAACTCTTAATTTGATATATCGTCCTGTTTATAACAATAACGCATTCCATAGATATTACAAGCCAAAGTTTCATTTTCGAAATTCATACACTATGATTCAATTGCGCGGGCTAAAGATAAGTTTTAAATCAATCTTTCGTGGCCAATAACAATTGGCTTAGACCTAAGACATCATAATATTACTATTACAATGCGGTCAAATGACTTTTATTTTCCCCCATACAAAATCGACCCAGCCTAACATACATACATAAGTAGTATGCCGTAGTAAACAAAACCGACTTCATTTCTCATATAAAAATTTATGAGTACCGTTAATTTCTCCATGATCCAATGATCGGATATAAACCAAATTAGTATGGAACCAACTCGGAGGTACCACCTTTCCGTTAAAAAAAAGATAAATATAGAAATCAGTTAATGAGGTACAAAGTTATACAGTAACATACAAACAAAAAATAGTATCGGTTAAAAATACGGTTTAAACCAAATTTGTTAGTATTATTTTTTAAAAAGCTAAGAAAGTATTTTCTCAAATAAATGGTCCTTAACACTGTTAACTCGTTCACATTTCGTTAATGCAATTCACCTATTGTATGTTGAATATGCACCAAGTGAAGTAGTTCACTACGAATCATTTTCACACGATCGTATGCCGTGAGATATACGTCACTAGCACAGATAAAACCGCAAAACAATTGTTAAATTTTCACAAATGTACGATATACCAGTACGTATAATAAATACGTAAAATACGTTGTATTTAATGCCTTTGATAGCTGTTTTCAAAACTTTAAAATTTCTATGTGAAATGCCCTTCACCCGAAATTGTTCCCCCTTCATGATAAAGTGAACTATTGCGTTGAACGAAATTTTTCACCGACTATTCATGATACGGCTGGTAATATTTCAACGGTAAATAGTAGTTCGGCGGCTGCTGTGGTGTAGTGCGCGCTTCCACTCCGCAGGGCCTGGGTTCAAGCCCTGGTCAAAGCAACACAAAAAAATATACAGAAAAAAAGTTTTTTTCTTATCAGCAATCACCCTCGGCAGGCAATGGCAAACCTCCGAGAGTATTTCTGCCATCAAAAATAACTTCTCATAAAAATATAATCGCCGTTATTACTATAGATAGCAGTTTTAGAAATATTAAAACTTTTTAGTAAGCTTAGGTACTTATTTTTAAATTTTCGGAACGGATTTTATGATGAATATTTTAAGTAAAAAAAGACAGAAAAAAGCCACGAAGTCAGATCTAAATTTCTGTGGCTATGGCATAAAGGCATAAAGGCAAAATCAAGCTTCAAAATCACTTACCTGGTCACACTATCCACCTGTTGGCACTTTTTTTGGAGTAGAAACTGAAGCTTGAGCGCTTTGTTCGTAATGTCGCACTCGAAGAAAGTGAGAATGTAACCAGCAGGAGGAGTTTTGCGTTGTACTCGTTTATATGTAGAAGAACTGATTAACCAACTTAAATACATACGTACATAGTTATGTACTTATAAATTTTATCAAGCACTCAATTATTGTGGCAATAAGTATGTACATATTTCATATAAAAAAATTCCATCATATTTGAAACCTGAGGAATATGTACACACATGATCGTATGCTGGTATGGGCTGGGGGCGCCAGAGGGCCTCGCCAACCCCCCGCAACACAAAATTGAACATTAACTGTTTGGTCAATTGAACATTAACTGTCAGTCAACTATAAGTATGTATGTAAATTTTTTGTCTAAAATTTTTTTTTTGTGATTGTTCAAGTCTTCAACATCGCACAGTGGTACAATCCCATACATTTTTTGGAAAAATAGAAGGAGTCGGCTTATAACCTCAATTTTCCGTGTGCAACATTTATGGAGACAAATCAAGAAAAAAACGAAAAATTGGCGAAATTTATTTATTTTAAAGCATACATCCCATTTAAACCTAACCTCAAAAATGTCTTTAAAATGCAATAAAAAATGTGCACCGATGCATATACATATAACTCCGAAATTTTGCCCATATGTTTGTAAGCATTTCCACGATTTATCTTTCCCTGATTCCATATATACACATCTGATGATGCCTTTTTAAGATATTTGACCTTACTAACTTTAATTGTAAAGGGCGAGGAAGAAGCCATTATTTTTTATAATATGAAAGTTTTAAATTTTCCATATTTAAATTGGACGCCACTTGCATATACTTACATACGTCGACTAGATTCAAGGCTTTTTTTTCGCGAAAATCTAATAAAAATGTATTGTGGTTCAATGTTCAAAGATTCAAAGTACAAATTTTTGATATAACGAAACTAATTCATAGTTTTTCTCTTTTTCCTTGTAAAATAAACATTTCTTAAAAAAATTTTTTTTTGTATTTTTCTCGGTTTTTGTCTTTTTTAATGCCTTCTTTTGCCTGCCTATTTCGATATTTTATTTTCCATTTTTTATAGGTTTTTGGGTGCTATAAATCCGTTCCCTGGTAATAATGTTGTGTGTGAACACCAAAAAAAAAAGAATTATTTTAACACATACCTCCCATGTAAACTTAACCTAAAAAGCCCTTAAAATA